TCAGAGCTTGCTCTAGAGTATCGAATACTCTAGGAGACAGTTACTCCATATTGCAGATACGAGGGGGTATTAAAAAGTTCGTGGACTAGCGCCATAAAATTAAAACCGCTTTAGGTACATCAATGGATTTTGAAATACTTAGTTAACATAATCTTTTCTATGTATGAAATAAACCACAAATCATAAATAAATTTTATTTTTTGATAAATTAGTAATGTTTTTGTAAGCAATGGTATGTCAAGGCGGCGCAACCTCGAAAACGACGTTTTTTCAACCTAAGTGTAACTGAGAAAAACTCTTTTGATATGATCATTTGACATCCAAATATTCCGTTAATTAAGGTATGTGTCGGGACAATTGTTCCATAAAATATGAAATTTTCACTACATTCTAAGTTCTATGAAATTTTATCGTAAATTTTACACGGAATGTCCAAACAAATGAGGCCTTGAAAATGACGCCAAAAGGTGGTAGGGGTTTCTGTTTCCAACTTTCTATTAAGTTTTGCCCCTGAACAAACGAGTGTAGACCTAACATATGTTGAATCTGGCTACAGAGAAATAAAATGCATCAAGAGTACTTGTCTTTTCATGTCAAAATAGATTCAAAGAGTAAATGGATACACAGTTAATGTCGATTTGCAGTCAAGGTGTGAAAAATCAATCACGTCAAAAATGACGTTGATCATGTGTTGTAGATATTGAACACCCAAAAGCAAAATATGCCGGTACAATCAAGCGCGGATCGCTCCCCATGTATTAATCCATTCGGAATATTATATTTAATGAAGGCCACTGTTCATGACATTTTAAAGTCATATAAACAAAGCGGGTTTAAGTCCTTACTCGGCTCCAGGGAATCTCATCAAAAAGTGTATGAGGTAGAAGAAGCGGACATTGAAAAAACAATGACGTTATCGGACGTCATGAAAATAAACGATGATAGCGCCGGGTGATCACATAATGTCGTTTTAAATTTATAATAATTTGGCAAATAATAAACGTATCAGGCTAAAATTTTCAACATTTCTTTATTTTGTGTTGTTTTATGTTCCATATACATTTTGAAAGCACAGACTACATAGTACTAATTTTATAGCCTCAGTCCACGAACTATTTGATAACCCCTCGTATAAGCGGAATATCACTAAATAGATAAAGATGTTCAAGACTGAAACGATTATTTTTGTAATAAGTCATCTAGTTTTTCATCAATTTAGCTTTTGAGCCTCTATTTTTGGTAAAACATTTAAATATGAACAGATGTGGCAATCTATGGCAGACTCTATGATGTATTAATTATTTCAAGTCCACTATAGGATATATCGGGTCGACATATGAATGAAAGTAATGAAAAAATTGTTCATGCACAACGCAAGAATCCTTGTAATGTAAACATTGAGAGTGTTTTTGTCTAGAATCAGGATGGTTTTTAACAAATTGTTAGTTACCAATCACAAGACATACGAAAATTTGTTCGATTTATTTTTATTGAAGAAGCAGTTATGTATGACATCAAGCCTAGCTTTTATTTAGCTGCAGATCTGTAGCTCTCCGAAAATTATATATTGATAGACCGGAGACTTCAGAAACAGAGATTTAAATTTTTTGAAAAAACTGTATATTTATTGCGCACAAAAAAATGCGCTCGGTTCTCGATTTTTTTCTCCATGTTTTTTAAAATTGTAACCTCAAAATATTACTAACCGTGTGTTCCTAACATATTCTTTCACTCTTTCCACAACAAAATATTCCTCATTATCGTTGTTAACAGTCCTCCTAGCCCTGATATTGCAATCATCGAACATTTCGCTTGTTTATACTGCCATTTTGGTTTCAAAGATAATTCGGTCCAATATGCTTCGTTCAGACGTCAACTACGAGAGAACTTGATAAAGGAGAGAGGAATTTTTTGAAATCTTCCATTTTTGCAATTGAGGTAAGAATTTGGAAGAATTAATAAAAAATCGAGCGCACTTTTTTGTGCGCAATAAATATACAGTTTTTTCAATGGGTGGCACTGTAGCTCTCCGGTCTATCAATATTTTTTTTTTCGGAGAGCTACAGATCTGCAGCTAAGCTTTTATTGTGAGGAATGATTGTATAAATCTACGAAAATCGTATGTTGGATGATACTGATTTTAGAAAATGTTGATGATAAATTTTTTAAAAGTTCTTTGGCGTTTTTCAGAACCCACGCATCTGATTAATAAATCTTCTAGAATTACTGTAACACAGAAGTGTCTCATTTACGGGGGTTAATTTTTGTGAGGACTAAAGGTGGAGGTTTTGAAGTATCTATGAATAAAAGCTTATATTGTCAATATTGATAAAACGCCATCGTTATACATAGGAATTGAAGGCCACATCACGAAGGCTGTTCTTTTAATGTAGAAGGTTTTGAACAAAGTCTGCATATAAAGTGAAAAAAAATTGTTTTCATACTAAACACCTGCTTTCCGGTGGCTACACTGGATACTGTCAAAACGGAATTCTAGAATCTTTTAGAATTCAAATTTAGAGTATTTTAAATTTTTTAAAATGTCATCTTCCCTTACTTATGCAGCAATATACCTTGAATTCATCACCTGCATACGGAGTTTATACATCTCAGTTGAGTCGATACGCAAGAACATGCTCTACATATGAAGAATTTTTAGAACAAGTTGCAAAAGCAAGAATATCAGCAGTCTCACTTAAGCTCATCATTTCATAAGTTCTTTGGTCGATGCAATGACCGTGTCAGCAAATACATCCTATCATTAAGTCTAATGCTGACTGACGTTTTTCATACTTATTGTTAGACCAGTAATTATACACTGAATTGTCAGCGGATTTTTCCGTTATTTCCCGATCATGACGAGGAGCACACGGCGGGTGTGAACGGTCGGCGGGGGATGCTTCTTTCTCGTTTTCTGTATTTACTGATTGAAAATCAAATTATAAGAAATGAATTAAATAGCAACAAACGCTACACTGCTATAACCTGGGTTGGAGCAGTTTACGCTTTCTTATAAACAGCTTCGCGGTTACTTTAAGCGTAAACTTGATTATCCGTGGATTGATTGATTGTATGTTGTTTAACGTCCCTCTCGAGAATTTTTCACGCATATGGAGACGTCACCGTATGGCAGTGAAGGGCTTCAAATTTAGACCTATACTCGGCACTCAGGGCCATTGAACAGTGAGGGTTCTTTATCGTGCCAACGCCTACCGCGACACGGGACCCACGTTTTTTAAGGATAAATAACACAAACAAACTTTTTTTCAGAAATCAGCATTATTTCTCATAGATTTACATTTAAATTGACAACCTGAATAATGTTTACAAAGTAGAGTGGGAGAATTTTATGAGATTTTGTCATAAAATTAAAAAATTGTGCAAAATTTTGTATGGAATTATATATAAGGCAAAATAAAATCTCAAATCTAAACACCAAGGAAAACCTACGATTTCTTTATATTTCAGGGATTTATTATTTATATCAATACAAATCAAAATCAGTCAAAAAATATATATCAACCCGCGCATCCATTTTTTGTTTGTGGTAAGTACCCTTAAGGTCATATCCGAAAGACTCATGACATTCACTTCTAATGTCAAGCGTTTAGCAAAGGAACAGTCACTACCTATGTTTACGTCTTAGGTTTGACACGGCGTCGCGAACGAGAATTGAACCTGGGCCTCCCGATCACGAAGCGAAAGTTCTACCACTAGGCTACCGTGACCGGTTTCCTTAAGTGGAAGTACATATATCAGAAGAAAGTTAAAAGAATACTGTAAACCAACTTTTATTCGCGTGCGAGAAATTTTCGCGAAGTTCGCGAGAGCCTCGTCATCTGAAATTTTTCGCCGCGAACCGGTTCTTAAAGTCGTAATTTTATGTGTTTATTAAAAAGTAATAAATAGGCTTTCTCGCGAAAAACACATGAATAGTAATTATCCCCTGTAATTCAAAACAAATGATTGTGGAAGTACATATATTAAAAGTTGGTTTACAGTATTTTGAACTGTTTTTAGAGCAAGGTTCAGAAGATATCTTTAAAAATATCCTTTCTTTGTTTCCAATGCAGTATTATTTAGAAATCATCTTTTTTCTATGTAGTTTGCAGACCCTATTTATGGTTATCAAGAAAAGTGAATCCTCATCAAAATTTTGGGGGTAATTTTAGTTTGAAATGCCTTTATACACCCACTCGTCACGCGAAGGCATCTTGAAGGTACTTTGACGTTTCAATGTAAATCCCTGTTGTTTCAGTCCTTGCTTATACGGAAGGTAAATGAACAGGAAAAGGCTTTCTTGTGATTCGTCAAAGCTATTGAAAATAATCCAAGGAAATAACTTTGCATACACGTTTTCGAAAATTGATTTTGCGGAAATGAAACTTTTATTGTCAAAAAATAATAAATTCTAGCTATAGTAAAACTAAAACCTAAAAAAAAACAAAACATGCATTTATTTATAGGCCTTATAATTATTCTCTGAAATAAAAAAAATCGAACATGACAATTTAAAATTTTTAAAATTACTACGTTTGTATGCGCGACCAAGATTTTGTCACAAGATAATAAGAATAATATAAAAAAAAATTTCATACGAAGATGTTTTGATTGTGATATTCTGCATTACAAGTTGTTACATTTTTTTCATTTTACATTGAATTCTACATTTGTTTGAAGAAAATAAAAATATAAATAGGTGTTGAAATTTTGGTTTACTAAATAAACATTAATGGGCAAATCATATAAATGGAACAAAAAAATAAAATCTGTTTATTCTGAAATACATTATATACAATCAGTCATATGTTTATTAGTTATGAATACACAAGTTCGAATCAGCTTCCAAGATGTGGATGGAGCACCAATTGTTACTGATCAGAATTATTTTTCAGTGGTAGTTTTACATTTGCAGGTAATACATGTACTATTAAACGAAAGTGAAATTTTTCTTAATTCTAGTAACCCGCAGGTCATATATACTTGTATGTTCTTCACAGGTGGCCGGAAGCACTGGGTAGGGGGAACAGATATGTTGGAGGAGGGGAGGTGGATTTGGTTTCCAGGTAACACACCTTTGACGTACACTGACTGGCTCTCAGGTGAACCCGACAACCAGCTTCACTCTTCCTTAGAGAAAGAGCATTGTATATCCTTGTCTCCAGGTGTGTACGGATCGTACAAATGGAGCGACGAAATCTGCAGCAAACACTTGTTTTTTATTTGTGAAAGAAGTGCAATAAAGACACGCCATCGTTGACATTATATTTTGCTTTGTAAAAATAAGGAACTTTGACTCATAAATATTTGATTGTCTCGTTACTCATGAGCGTTTAAGATCAGATAGATAAATTTAAACCTCGGCATAGTTAAGAACAAAACAATGATTATTGAGGTAATGTACTGAATATGCTGAATAATGAAAATCAACTGTGTTTGTAATGGGTAGAGAATTTCATCACAGTTATTGCGACTTGACTCTTGACAACAAAATTGTGCAATAAATTCTGAATAATGAACGAAGTTTGTGCATGGGCGTTGTTATAAAGTAACTCTGTGTAGGAGGATAAGTTATTTGCAGAACAATGTAATTTGTTATAAATATGTTAGAAATGTTACATGTATACTTTATTATTCGTAATACTATGGAATGAATATACAGGGGGTTAAATTGAACTTGAACTTGGACATATATATTCAGAATTCTGTTGACCTTGTTTTCAGATTATTATCTAAATTTCCGAAAAAATTCAGTCTAATTTAAGATTTCCAGATTTGATTTTCGTCGTAGACCCCCGGAATTCACAGGAGTAGGAGTTGAAAAAACCTTGAAAAATATTTTTTTGAAAATCTCAATTTTTTTATATCAAGATCTATAGATTTATAAAATCATATTAATGAAACATTCTGCGAAAATATGCAGAAAATGGCAAACATTTGATTATGTTTGGAATATCATATTGTCATTTGTAATACCGGGTAGTAAAGCTATTCTTGGTATTTTATTAGCGCAGAAATGACGGGGTAGAATTGAATTGATGCCTTAAAAGTTTAAAACTGGAGAAAAAAAATCCATATCAAAACATGGGTATTTATCCTATTGATAGTGAGAAAGCAACATGTGCCTTACAAATCCAAATGTATATACATCAGAATTATTTTGTTTTAGATATTCAACTAGGCCAAAAAATGAAGTTGGAATGTAACACACATTGATTGTTTCTCGAAAAAAAATAATAGATAGAATGAAAAAAGCTAAAAATTCAATGAAACAATACAAATCAGAGGCAGAGCAAACACGGACCTCTAAAGCATCAGATGGTGGGATCAGATGCCATTAAGGAGTGAGCATCCTCTGCCGACCCTTTGCACCCGCCAAGTGCTTCATGTCATTAATGGGAAATAACGGAAAAATCTGTCGACAATTCAGTGTGTTAATAATGGCTTAACAATTGGTATGCAAAACGGTCAGTCAGCATTTGGCTTAATTATAAAATGTATTTGCTAACAAGGTCATTGTATCGACCATAGAACTTACAAATGATGACTTAAAACTAGACTGCTAATATTCATGTGAACAAGTATATCACTAAGTCGTATTTTAGCTGACGTGTTTCATACAAATAGTTAAGCCTCTAATCAGGTGTGATCAGTCAATAGGGGATGCTCACTCCCTCTAGGCATCTCGTCCCATCTTCTGAATTCAGATCGCTGTTTATTATTTTCCTCTTTTTCATTTTACGTCGCCGTCGTATTTACATGTTTTATATTTGAAATCCACGACAAGAGACTTCTGTTGTTCATGCAAAAGTTTCTGAATAAATTCTGCTTCGTGTAAATAAGAAAACTATCTCAGCTTCTGACGGGTGGAAGGTATTGATCATGCGCGGATCTAAAGGGAGTCCGGGGGGAATCTTAATCGCCTAATATTTAAAATTATGATTGTGTGTATGCAGATAATTTCAGGTAAAGCAAAGCAGAGTTATCAGCATTTCTTATTAACAAGTAGATCAAATTTACTTGTATACTCTTCAAGGTGGCCGAGAGCATTGGGTAGGGGGAACTAATATGTTAGTAGAGGGGATGTGGATTTGGATTCCAGGTAACACACCTTGATTGTGCACTGACGGGATCTCGGGTGGGCTAAAAAGCTGAGTGGAGTGGAGTCGTGGAGTCATGGAGTGGGGTCGTGGAGTGGAGTCTGTATCATAACAGTACAGGAAGTTTGAGAACAAAACAATTTCTTTTGCATACAATATCTCCCCTTCATTGTCATTTTAGATTTGTTTACACTGTAGCAAGAATGAAAAAAGAATTAAAAGAAGTGTATGTAGACAAAAACTAACGACCTTTAACTGTCTAACAGAAAATCACCTAGAAATGCTTTACTAGGTAATATATAAACACTATCTAAACTTAGTGAACTTTTTGACCTTATTCGCCAATCCCAAACAGGCAAACCTAGCAAGAGGTGTTGACAGCTTTAATATCAAACAGAGAAAGAGCACTGCAGAACTGATGACAACTACATGATTATAAAGGCACATATTTTTAAAAAAATAGGTTTCACTATTAAAGATATCATCTTTGTTGGAATTTGAAGGTCACAATTTTTTTTTTTCTGTATCTCTATCTTTGAATATAAACATATATATCTAAATATTTACATGCATATATCCCTTTTAGGAGACATGCTTCAGAATATAGGTGTTAATAGACTCGACTGACAAATACATATCATACAGCTGTGAAACATAAAATGGATATTTTTGAAATGTTTGCTGAGAAACTGGTGTTGCTATGTCTGATTTTTGAAACACATTTTAAACGATGATGCATTACTTATTTTTCAAATTTTTAACCTTTGTTTCTTGAAGAGGGACTTGTGATACTTCATTCTTATAATTAGTTTTGTCACCCGCGTGGCACAGTGATTGGAGTGTCTGCTCTGAGTCGCGCAGTAAGGAGCTGATCCTTACATTATGGGTTTGAATTCCACTGTGGGACTAAATAGAGACCTGTCTTTCAGATGAGAACGCAAACATCAATGTCCATTGTACTGTGTCGCAGTAGTTACTAGCACGAAAAATACCCTTCACTGCTCAGTGATCAAGCATAGTACGAGTATAGGACAAAAATTACAACTCAATCTCCATCTGCTGAGGCCCACTCGATTGGGACCCTTCTTATTCCAGAATAACCATTCTGTCTGCTCGATTGGTTTGGTAGGGTAGACTTAGAAGGCCTTCTCAGCCTTCCACGTCAGAGATGGAAGAATAGCTGAAGGATAGCATTCTAATATGGCGTCAAGCGGTTTGGTGAAAACTTGGGGGATTTTTATTATTGTAAATAAACCAAACTTAAAACAAAATACAGTTGCAAAAAAATATTCTTATCATGTATGAAGGGTAATTCTGTTAAGAAGCATTTTTTCTGTTGTGTAATTGCAGTAAAATCAACCATTGAACACAGTTTCATAATTTACAATGTAATATAGGGTGCAGATTTGAGCTGTAAATAGGTCCCTGATTTGATCATAATTATTTTTCTTTTTTACATGCTCTTTAATATTCTTCTGTCTCAGACACTTGATGTTTTAAATCTTTCTTTACATAAATAAAAAAAGAAATTCCCAATAGTACTATTATATTAAATTAATTTTTCCACTCTTAATTATCTCAAGTTTCCCTTTCGAACTAACATTTAATGCTTAAAAAAAGGATTTAAATTCTTGAAATTCAACAACTGCAGTAATTCAAAACATTGCAGATAATATTCCATCCTATTCAATATCCTTCTGAACACTCGATTTAGACATACATATTCCAACCCTTCCAACATTCCCCCCTGCTTCTAGAAGGGTCCCAATCGAGTGGGCCCCAGATGATGGGGTCTAAATATGAGTTCAAATTCTCGAGAGGGATGTAAAACAACATACAATTAGTCACAAAATTAGTTTCACCAATATTTGATCAAGCTTATTTTATAATGTGACCAGAACAAAAATTATACATATCATAAGTAATGGGGAAAAATAGTGCTTTCGTTGTATTTTGCTGGTCAATATATAACATGCAGTCAATAAAGAATTTAAAAGAAAGTTTATCCCAATAGCGATGTGCTGAAATGTATTTGGTTATTCAATTTCATTTTTAAAAAGATGACTAGTTCAAGCAGGATGTTGTCAACTTTGTGTTGTTGTTCTTAAAACAATGGTTTGCTACAATGTACAAAATATTCAATGATTTGACAAAAAATCATTACATTCAAATCAATTTTATTTTATTTTACTTGTTCTATATAATGCAGTAGCTTTCAATCTCTATCTAAATTATTTTTTAAAAGTAAAACTATCTTATTTAATTGTTTGTTATTTCTCATTTTGTGTAAATATTTACAACTCTGCTTTTGGGCGTAGAGGTTAGCAGGTATTGGTAAATTGTAGGAAACACTAAAGAACGTTACTATATAGTAGATGTAGAGCTATGGAATTCAAAAAATTACTCAGGTAATCGAAAACAATCCCTCCTTTCCTTTTCAACTCTATATGCCCAAGCTATAGCTGTCTGTGATCATTGAGAGACTGTTACAATAATAGTTCATATATATTGTAGATGAATGAGAAAATGGGGGGGGGGATTTAACCTTCAAATGTCAACACATCAATGGGAATAACTTTTTGTTTTGAGTAACAGAGACCAAGTGCACTCCCATCCCAACAGGCTAGAAGTGTTGACAGATTTAATTACTGTGCTTTAAATGCTTACTCAGTTGTTGATTGTAAATAAAAATTTGCTTGAAAAAGAACTGAATTAAGTGGTATATTGCTTTTGTCAGCAAAAAAAATCTAAATGATGTCACCTGTTAACTTACACAAACTAAAACAAACAAATGTGTTACTATATCTGCCCCTCCAACTACAGTATATATAATAATTAATCAATAAGATATAAATAACTTAGTTTACAATACATCTTTATGATCAGAAGTAACCAAATACATTTGTACATTTCTTCACATCGCTATAGGGATAAACATTCATTTAAAGTCCCAATGAATTCTGTCAAAATGTTTTCATCAATAATAAATAATTGCCTCAATGATACATATACTGGTTGATAGACTGCATGTTATACATTGATCAGCAAAATAAAAGGAAAGCACTTGTTTTAGGGTGGGGACATTACTTATCATATGTATTAATTTTGTTATGAGTCACATTTATAAAACAAGCTTGAACAAATATTGGTGAAACTAATTATAGGTATAAAACAGCTCCCTTTTCACAAAACAAGGGTAAAATAATTTTATTTAAAGTTAATTGTGTGTCATCGTTTAAAATGCACAATTTGTACTTTAAAATGAAAAAAAAAAAAACACAAGTTGTTGAGCTCATTTCAATAAATATTTTACTTTTTAAGGTTTTCAATTCCAGTAATTATATTTATTTTAAGTCTAGTAATTAATCCTGGTCAATTATTAATCTTCAACAGATCCAATGGCTGATATGTATTTATC